ATTCATCCCAACATCGGCATACCTTTTTCTGCCGCCACGGTCCCGCATGGACGAGCGGGCCTAGTCGCGCGTGGCGAACGACGGACCTCGGAATAAAGTACTCGTGGAGAAATGGAGCCGTTTTTTACCAGATATTTTTCAATTTCCTAATGAGATACTTGGAAGCCAAGCTTGGTCAAATTAATTTAATCAAAGTTCGGTTGCACAAGTGTTTAAGTGAATTTTTTTTCTTTTATCATATGAATAAAATATAGGAGATTTAATTACAAAAAATGAATCAGAATAAATTGGGATAATTCTTTTTATAAATGTAAAACCTTCGTTTAATAAAGCTCCAAGATCACACAACACGCGACTGCGACTAAACAGTCGTTTCCGTTCCCGGGCGAAATGTCCTCTTCGGGACGTGGAGTAGAAGCTCGCAAGAAGACGTAAGATACCGTGCGCCTTCAGCTTTGAGCGAAGATAGGAGTACAGTTATCCATAAAGTAGAGCATGCGTACGTTGGCTCTAGAGCGGCAGGTGGCTGCCGCTGAACAAAGAGACAAGAAGCAAAAAGAACGTGAGTCGTCATCTATCGAGATAGTACGAGAGAGCTCTCGTTCACTGGGAAATGATTGAATCATTGAGACGATGTCCGCTCGTTACACGAAAATACGGTAATTTACGAAGGACATGCAATGTGCATCAGTCGCCGATACGCTTCTTCTTGCGCTATCACAGAGAATACGATTCTGACATAGTAATTTCTTTTTTCTAAATCGGCTTAATTATTATTTAATTGCAAAAAAGATTTTTATCGTTAATCCGATCATTTTTAGCCAATTTACGGATATTTATGTATTTCTGGAAATGGAATTTCATCACATTTCTCAGAAACTCGTAAATTTTAGCATTATTACTAATTAAATAAAATTATTTCAATATTTTTTTTTTATAAAAATTAACATAAAGCATTTAATATGTCATTTTAATAAATATGTCATTTTATATACTCGGGTTACATAAAATGAAGAATTACGTTGGGACAGGAACATATATGTATATGGAATGTTATGAGACGATGTTTTAAATTGAATTAATTAGTTATTATTCATATTTTATACAATAGTAATCATAATTAAGGTGTTTTAGTTCTCGTAATATTCTATATTCGTACAAGGGTACTCGGTAAAATCGATAAATTGGGGGTCTGCCGTATTATATGCTATATGTATATAGACGATTTTCTAGGCATCTCTTGTTTCCTCTGTCTCTTGTTTTTCGCATCTCTTTACATTCTTATCACAATATCGTATTTTACACAGATTCACTTACGGCTTACATGCTAAAGGGCCCCGGTGCAATATTTACAGACGTTCGGGGTTCGATCTGCCAGCCTCGCCGAGTCGATCGATCTCCGATGGCTTGCACCGAGACTAGTAACGCTAGTAAATTCTATGGACTTTTTATGTTGTTTATCTATCTCTCTCTCTCTCTCTCTCTCTCTCTCTCTCTCTCTCTCTCATTCTCGTGCACGCGTACTTTTTGTCACATTAAGTTCACACTCGTTTTCGCGTGCGGCGCTGTCATGATCCGCGTATTCGACGAAAGCGTAATAAAGGTGAGCCGCACGACTGATTTTGCACGCTGTTCATCGAAGCTGTCGGATCGACGTTTTTTTACGTCACAGAGATTAATGTCTCTTTCGCATTATTTCCTGAAAATCGTATACCTTTCTCGTAAACAGATTACGTTCGTAAAGATATAAGATATAAAGAAAATATAAATTACTTTTCGTTGTCCTATATTTCCCGAAGTTTTGTTTATTTCAAATGTAATGATGTAGATTTGAGAATAGAGATCTTTGTACATAGAAAGTTAATTGATTTTTCTGACAACTGCAATTTCTCAGGAAATTCGGCATCAATCTCGACAACGATGATCAAAACGCGCGCCTTGTCACTTCGACCACGCTCTATTGTTTTACGCTGTTTTTCGCATTTCCGGCTTTACACGTGATTTAGGAACTGAGGGGAGCTTCGTCTTAAATTATACACGCATACACGTTCTTATTGCACCGAATCAAAACGCAAGAATCCGTCCGAGAAGGCCGTCTCGTGCTTCCTAGTTTTTCGCAGCGCGGCTTGCGGTTAAATCTAACGGCACTTATTATTATACACGGGAGAGAATCGTCGCGTCGTTGTCGCCGTCGCCGTCGTCATCGTCATCATCGTCGTTGCCACCGGTGCATCCATCGCGTGCACTCGACGACGACGTTGAGCGTCACGACGTAGGAATTCCGCGTCGCCCCGACGCAGCGACATCGATCCCCGGACCGTAGTCTACCTTCTAGCTCGCCTTCCCTTTTTCCGCCGCGAGGCCTTTACGCAAGCACACGCGACGTAATCGCGTACCAGCGTTCAACAGCAAGCGCGGTCGACACGAGCGGAAGGACATAAAACTAGTTTTGTACTGTTCTCTTTGTGCACCATGGGGGCGAACCCGGCAGCCTAATCCGCCTCGAGTTTCCGCGCCGCGTTGACTTGCGCGGCGCCGACGTCCTCGTCGATTCCCGGGGAAAATCGGGGAAATCGGGGGAGATTTATACGGGTGCGTTACAAGTGAGATCTTGCGTACTCGATCGCCGATTCTGAAAGCAATTTTGAAAGCCGCTCTGGTATCTCGATTGTTTGACATTTGATTCACGATTGAGATAAATTATTACATCTTTATATAAAAATGTAATAAAAATTTGTTTTACGTTACGAGAATTATCATTGCATCATCGGAAATTCGACGCAACCATGAGTCATGAAAATCCTATTACAATTCCGCATAATCGATGGGACCATGTCGAATTTCAGTGATCTGGTCCGGGATACGAAATATTTATAGAAGATTCAATGTTATGACAAGTATCTATGGAAATTAAGAATTTTCAATTTTCAGTGTTAAGTTTGAGTTACTGCATTAGAAGACGTACATAAGTTTAAAGAAGTTTATAGGTGTCATTTAATTTTTTCAGGCTTGAGAGCCGAGATGTGAACCGAGGCCTGGCAGTGTCAGTGCACATCACGACCGACGTGCCAAACAGTAACAATCAGAGCAAAGAAAAAAAATGGAATCAGGAAGGACAGGGACTGTGTGCGGCACCACTTCGTTCTCATGAGACGACCATTGTTGCACTGACGAGACTGTAGATGTAGGTCAGCGGTGGGGCTCGCCCGATCCTCCCAGTTTCCCGCGGTTGCAAGCCACAGTTGTCGTTTTTGCGGTTTGCCATCGCCTCTTGGAAAGCTAGATATTGTGCGACGCAAAATGGCAAGGGTGACCCAACATGGCCGACAGAGGACGGCGAGGAAGAAACAGCGTGCAACAGTTCGCCGCAACTCGACTTACAGCGTGAAGCCCACGTTCTGCCTGACAGAATTCTGACAGAGTTTGAACATAAACCGCTTGCGGCGGAAAAGAATAGGAGATGCTACTTAGAAAAAAACCTTGGTAATTCAAACGAATCGTAGAAGTTACATTTTCATAGGCAGTAAATCGTTTTATTTGACTTACCATTAATTTACGAAAGATTTCTTTCAGTTTATTCATCGTATAATTTAAAATTTTACGCAAAATGTATACTTAATAAAGTAATAATTTTGTAAACAGATATATAAATAAATAAATATTTTAAAACTACGTTTTAAAATAAAAATTCTTGATTCATTAATCCATTACGTAAAATATTGCAAATGAGCGAAAATCAAGCGGATTGCGATGTTAGACTATAGAAGGAGACTACAATTTGGATTAGCTGATGAATGTCGAAATCAGAGCGAGTCTTCTTTTTCCGAAATTCTTAGCGTACTTAAACATCGATGGCATTCCGCGTGTCACCAACAGAGATAATAATCTTTCTCCGGCTCGCTCCTCCAACTGTTTGTTCCTCCGTTCATCTCTCGCGTATTATTCTCTTCTTCGGAGGAGGCCTCCGGCCAGTTGCCTCATCCGGGAAGGAGGGACCGGTGATTACAGCGAGCCACCGTGATTGCCGAGATCGTTTGACTCACGAAAATGTCATTAGGATTTCATTACTTCCAACCGCCTTGAGGAACGACTGCTCAACGAGTTTATGCAACGTTGTCTCTCCGTCCCCCTTCCCTTCCTTCCCTTCCCCATCGCTCTTTTTCCTCGTCTGTCTTCCCGGAGAGACTTCGCCAACCCTGTCGTTCTTCACCATCTATCGCGCGAGATCTAGCCCGTGCACGAAGTAGGTCAATCGCACTCGCGGTTGTTGGGCAACTGTCACAAAGGATCGACCGGCCTAACGTCATCGGCAATTGACATTTGCGAGGAGATAGAAATTGGTTTTTAGAGATGCACGATTGTGCCAGACCGGAGTTGATTCAGAAAGGTGACGAAAATATCGGGTCGATCGAGCCGCATTGAAAAGAATCACGCGACCTGATTCCGTTGTTCGCTAGAGTTTGTTACGCTTGCCCCGGACATAATTACCAGAGACGAGCGCCGGATGTAGGGATCTTAAATCTTAAATCCGTGTTCTTTTCGATTTTTCGATTTATTACAATATCATTATCGCCACTATTATACCATCGCATTAGTTTCGGTAATCGTCAGAACTCGTTAAGTTTAGATGTAACAGGAACTATGCAAGTTTATATCTTTATCATCCAAATAAAGGGCTCGGGAAAAACAATTTTTATTTGTCATATTAATAAATTTTTTTACACTTGTTTGTCAACGTTGATACAAGTTAACTTTAATTAAATTGAAATTTAAACGGGAATTCTGATTATCAAACTTCACGATTCATTCTGAAAAACATTGCGATTGTATGTAAGAATAATAGTGGCACTATGAAAACTAAAAACCTCAAATTTAATTTTTCACACATAAAAGGTACCAATTATAAAATTAAATTAAATTATAAAATATTTCAATATTAAATCAAGGTATAAAGAATAAACAAAAAATGAAAAATAAAATAAAATATTTTCCAGTGGACAGATTATAAATTTGAGGCTTCTAATTTCTAGAAATAAAATGAATTAACATCTAATTGTAATGGTTGATGGTAACGTCGATTCAATATCTTTTCATAGGAAATTATTGTATCGCGTAAATTGTTTATTTGATTAACCGTAGCGATTAAATTCGGTATGCAATTCCACGCTTGACAAACGGCGGACAACAACATTTTCACAATGAAAACAATTACATAGAGGCAATCTCTGCTTATAATTAACCGTAATAATCAAATTAGATCCGATGCACGCAATCACGGCGGTCGACACGAACAGACATGTAGAGAAGCCGTTTTATTTCCCGGGAAAAAAGATTCCTCGCGACTATCATTTTTGCGACAACGATTACTTGCCAAACACGAAAAGCGTTACAGTCGTGACAATCACTCAATCATACGCGAAGCGTTACAAGTACCCTCCAACTCGTAAATCGAACTTCAAGATCATCAATGATCGACGTCGTTCCACGGAGAACTCGCATCACGAATGGTCACGGGTCGATTTTCGGCGATTTCGCTTCGTAAATCACTCTGTTATATCATTATTTATCATCTTTTTTACAACGTACTTTTTTTTTACTTCACCGTACGACGACGTCGCTCCTGTCTTCCTCCAATTAACGTCGATTCCAGCTCGAGAAGGAAATGTCTCACAGAGCACAACGAAACGACGCGCACCGAGAAACAACGTGTCACTAATCAGTTAAAAATCACTCGATGCACGAATCGTTCGCACGAATGACTTCCGATTCTCCGCGACGCTGTAGTCGTCAGTCCACGCTGGAAACTGAGGCGTCGTTCCTCTTTGTCAGCTTTGAAGAAGCGTCTATATTCGTCGCCGATTGGCATTCGTGGTTGCATCTTTCTCGTCTCATTAGTATTATTATTATTAATATTTTGCTAAGGGGCGTGTATCACACACAACGTCGCACTGTTCGTACCGCTCTCACTTCGACGGACGGCCCGCACGGATACCGGCATGCGGGTTTCATTAGACGATTAAAAACAATATTAACATTCAATTTTCCTCGCAAGAGGCGCTACACGTATTCACACTTTGGGGCGGAACCGCTGGGATACGTTCGCGATGCCACGAAGAGATTGGGTCATCTGAACTCAGTTCAAGGGATATCTTCGTTAAACCGCTGGCCATACCCTGCAAAAAACACAGACAACCATTCGGTTAGAAAGTGGTGAAAATGCACAACGAGAGATTTTGCGAAATTTCAGAAGCAATCAATATTAAGCTGTTACTTCATCAAACCGATATTGTACGTGAGTAAAAACTTAACTGCTGGCATTTTAATAATTAACTAACTTTAAGTTGAGAGTGTACCAGTATATTGCGTCTTTTGCGGTATAAATCTATAGATATACATATCTATCTTGCATCGCATATGTATTTTTTTTTTATACGTTCGGCTCCTGTGTGGTTTAGGTCGATTATTATTACTATTAAAGAGATATGCGGTAACTTTGAAGCTTCCGGAATCACAGCGCGATGTGATGATGAATATTCGCGGCAAGGCGAGTGAGGTAAATTTGTCGTGTCATGTTGGTTCTCAGTGAATAGGAGAAACGTCCAACATATCCCAAGGGGACACGTGACTGGCAGTACCAGTTTGCATTGAGGTACGTTGATTGACGCGTCGCACTTTAATTTTAAATTGAATATGTCTATGATTGAGTATCGAAGTATACTATTCATTTGTGCCCACATAGAAATTACTAATACGAATTATAGCAGCTACAATGACAAAGCTATGTAGATATTTAAGGAACGCGTTCTCTCATTGTACGTGAAACACGATAAATGTTCCATATCTTGAAACGCGATTCACCTTACGATTCACTTTACGTTAATTATTTTCATCTTTTAAATAGTGTCAACGAACAAAACTCGAAATATAAATGTTACATAATTCATGTAATTATAATATTTCAAAGTTTATTTACAATGTTCTTCTGTAGCCGTGGTTAACATCATTATCAGTTTCAATCTCAGATCACAAATTTAATGTATTCTTATTTTCAACAATACAATGATACCACAGTTAAGAACTTCTATCTTAGATGCATCAATTTCGCAATAATCTCTAACTTCCGAAGGCAATGCATCAAGCCATTACCATGTCAATCCATTCGCAATTCGGAGAAGCAGCACTTACGTGAGTAGTCCGGGGTTGGGGTCCGCCTGATACCAGGAATACTGCGGCATGTAACCCGCGTGATGCGGCGGCGGTGGCGGTGGCGGTGGATGATGCCCGGCCGTGTGCGGATGATGATGGGAGTGGGGTGGCGCGTGTGGATGCGGATGGTGCTTCATCTCGCCCGGCCAGGAGGGTGCCGGTGGGCTCTCGTTGTGCTGAGGCGACATCTCGCTTCCGGGGCTCGAGCTCCCGGGGGTGTGACCGCCGCCCCCGCCGCCCATGCCGCCGAGGTAACCCGTCGTCGGGCTGCCCGACACGGAACTTCCGCCCCCTGAAAACACAAACGCGAAACGGGAACCGTTTCAGAACCGCTCCGAATCTCGCGGCCGTCGTCGTCGCCGCCGCTGCCGCCGCCGTCGTCATATTCAGCTGTGTCGCTGTGTTGCTGCACATGCAGCTGCGTGCGCCTGAATGGAACCGGCGTCGCAAATTGTATTAATCGAGCGAGGGAGCGGTATTGTGCGCTAATGCATCTGGTGGTTGTTACGAGATGGGAAAGAGTTTTCACAGGGTAGTCGCGCGTTCGATTTCGAGCTCTAAGTTGAGTCGGGGTTTGTTCGGAGAACAGGAGCGTGTACATATAGTTCATCCCCTGACTGTACGTCACGTTTCCGTGACATTCCGCCATTTAGAAGCGCTCCGATTTTTATCTTTTCCGAAACTTTCTATTACCTTGATGCTATTCTTAAACACGGGATTATTACAATATTGCATTTATGAGTGTAAGTAATGAGATACATTATAAAATGTATATATGTATTCATATTCGTTGATATATATTGTTGCAATTTTCCGAGAAAAAAAATCCAAGAAGAAAGTATAAAATCAGTTTAATATTCAAGTAATAAAAATATATTGAAAAATTAAATTATATAACGAAACTGTTCGTATATAAGACTAAAACTTATACATCTTATACGTTGATGTGCTTCGGGCACTTATATACAAAATGCAATTGGGAACGGATGCTTGCCTCTAATATCGCTATAAAAGAGTGGCACTCCTAGCAAGAGAAATTTCTCAAGATGGGGTTAATTGCGTTGGCCGCGTCTTTCGTAGAGCATTTCCGGATAAATCACTCGCAAGTCAAAGAGATTACCGTTAGTGGCAGAAAGAGATCAGTGAGATGAGGCAAACGGTACTGTTTTCGTCGGCGATATAGGCGGTGGCAAAGTATTCGCGCGATAAAAAACGCGCACCGCGAAAATTGCATCGGATTATTAGTATTGTAATTACGAAGCAAAGTGACGTTCGTGGAGATTGGCAGCGGCGATGCGATAAAGTGATGGAGAGTAGTCCCGTCAAGTGCGCAATCATCGCGCACGTTCACCAGTGACATTCAATTAACGCCCATGGACATTTGCCTAATTAAAAATGCGCGAGTGATCGCGAGATTCGCGAAAATAAATCGGGTGACCGTAAGAATGATTCAATCAATGATAGATCAATCAAACGCACGTTTCTTCAAGGCTTCAATTGAATGTATAATGGAATAGATTTCTTTGTCGCGCGAGTTATTTTTTTTTATTTCATTTTTTAATATATATTTTATTTATGTAATAGTAAGGTGTCTTATACATACCTCCTTGCATAAGACTTCCGGGTTGACCAGGTTGAGGGGATGGTCCACCAGGTAGAGCGGTTCCACCCGCCAGGAGACTGCCATGCTGGCCACCACCACCACCCCCACTTTGCTGTGCTGCTTTCATCATCTTCTTATACTTACTCCTTCTGTTTTGGAACCAGATTTTCACCTGTAAAAAAAATCGATTTTAGAGATAAATATTATTATATTAGATAAATATTATAAATGTGAACATGAAGTAAGAAATTTTATTATATATTTATGCTCTTGTCTAACAATGTTGGACTTTTTTATTTCAGAACTCTAACGATAATAAGTATGAATAATCTTATCTTATATTAATTAAGTCGTTGTCCTTCATTTTGTCATGAAGATAACTTCCGTCAACTTTCTAAAAGTATTAGATAAGCAAAAAAGATAAAAGAAAATTTTGCAGAAATAAAAAATTATTGTAACTGAATAGTATATATGAGTTTATTATATATCATGCTGAATACTTATTAAATGTTTATAAGTATAATATTTACGTATATTACATCATATTTCTATGCGAATATATTACTTAATACAGAATTACTTATCATATTTATCATATTTTTTCAAAGTATTGTCGCGTTTATGCATTTATATAACGATAATTAATTTTTTAACTCATTAGAAGATTTGAATATTAATTCATTATATGATATTAATGTCTTAGCATATTTTAACATAAATCATAACATAAATCATCTGACTCGTAATGTCGTGATGTTTGGTCACACGCAAGATATTATAATATTTACAAATAATATAATATAATGCAAATACATCGACACTAATCACATTAAATATACAATCATCACATTGCTTATAAATGCTATTATACTTTTATTATTATGTTAATTATCAATGTGTTGTTGTCTCGCATTGTTAAGCCATTCTTGGAACATCAGGCAGGTTCGTAAAAATATCACGGGAATGGGATCGCAAAAGATTTCCTCGAGATACATCGTCCGATTATCGATGCGCGACTGGAAATACATTTCACAACCGCGCGATGCGCAAAAGCATGCCTGAGTCTAATCCGATGCTTCGCATCATCGCATCGTACTGCCGGGTTAGACTCGGTGGCGAAGACGAAGGAAAAAAAAAAATAAATAAAAAGAAACGCTCACTGCGTTTCGTAATCGTCGTTTCTTTTGCCTCCTCTGTACGATGCATAGAACCTCAGCGGCAAGCAGCTTCGTCGTCCTGCGGCGCGTATACCGGTGCGCACGCGCAACCGCTAGGATTGCACATGCGGTATTTTTTTTGTCTCAGCATCCGCACACATGCACCACGCGCATGTGACGTGCTGGCTCGATCTTACGTAACCCCGCCGCGCGTAGCTAAGTGTGTACGTGTACAGGAATACGCGAGGTATACCCGCGTTTTGCACGACAGCCTGAATCGAAGCCATATGTTCGGACACATCGTCGGAATTGGTTCGCAAAAGAAATCCTTCAACGCTGAAAACAAGCTCCTTTACTTCTCCCATTTTTGCGCGATATTACCTCTTCCATTTTATTTAATAAAAATAGCTCTGCATTTGATTTTACCTAATTATTTTAGGATTTTTTACCAGTTTTAAGATACATGTATATTTCTTCTTTTTTTTTTTTCGTTTCATTAGCTGCGTCAAGATAAGTCATTTAATCTCTGCAAATATAATGTTTCTCATATCGGAATGATTACCGCTTATTAATTTATTGTTACTTTTAGATACTTTCCACACGCGTAGTCTTCTGTCCCTGAAATATTCATGATTCCGTTATTTTACCGCGCGATTTGGAGGGGTATTCGGCTACGCCGGATGACTTGGACGAAAACAGAGAGAGACATGCCTTTTTATTAATAGTACACCACGCCTAATGACTTTTTAACGAGCCTATCCGCTACAAACCGGGCTTACTCGATATTCCACCGCCACGTCGATCAAACGCTGCGATCATAAAACGCGTGATGAATACAGTGAATACGCGCCTCTATTCACCAGGCACAAGAAATATTTTTTCACAATTAAAAATTACTTTCCTTTCACGGTCTTAATCTTAGCTCCGTCGAACAATGCTTTCGCGGAATATAAATTATAAGATAAATTATACCGTTATGTATGTACATATATGCGGCTGTATATTAATTATTAAGCTGACGAGAAAGAAATCCTTTATCGCGAAAATGCGCGCGAGCAAAAAGATTAACAATTAAACGTTCTTACTTTTTAGTCATTTGTTTAATTAGCATGCCATTTACCTGAGCAAGCTTTCGAACACTTTAGCATCGATGATAAAATTATTCTTCCTTATAAAATATGATAGAACGATATGTAAATATACGTTTTCTTGCAATTAAGTGAATCTGTTCTTTATTTTTAATGAACTCTGTATGATGTTGCTACTATTCCACATGATGCATTTCAACCGCCTGACTCCCTATCCTTTGATATCTTCCTCCCCTTTCATCTGGGCAAATCGACTTAGTTAATTAAAGTAACCGTCCAGCTGTTGATTGACGTTCAAGGTGTAAAAAAGTTGATATAAACGATATGAACGTATGTATGAGTACGCTGTCTCATAGACTATTGCGCAATGGAAGAATTATATACTGACGTGGTGAATGATATGGGTCGATTAAACAATTGTTTTTTTAGCGATATAAGTGTCAAATAAGATCACAAAAGATAAAAACAGAAATTGATTTCAGAACATTTTTACAGTTATATAGATTTATATTTTTATAATATTCTAAACAAAACATAAAAGAAATTTACAATAATAAAAACAATATATTCATCAATTTGTTATGCAAAAATCTCATTTTTCGCGCGTTTTCCTAAAATGCAATATGGATAATTCAGAATGGATTAAATCAAAATAAACCGGTAGACACGATTTTATATATAAACATTAAAAAACAGAAATAAAATATACTTTTTATGAAACACATATCATCATTTTATTGAAAGCTTCGCTTTCAATAAAAACATAGCACGAGTTATCGAAAGAAACATTTCGACTCACAAAGCATACATGTATATTTATAAAATATTCCAATTTTCTCTCTTTAATTTAAATGACAGATTTTTTTTTATTAATTGATTTAGTACCAACATTTTTCCAAATAAAATATCTATTTTAAATGCCTATTTTAAATGTATTGAAGAAACAATTATACTAAAAGTGATGAGTGCAAAAAGTATGTGCCTGATTCATCTGATACTTAAGGAAAAATCGGTTTTCGACTCTTCCAAACACCTGTCGTTAGAACATCTGAGACATCCTATGCATACGAGTATTCATTTGTAAAAAATATGCCGCGGCCAACATCAGCAGCCCCTAGTCGGCAAGCGTGTGCCCGGCGTGCCGGCGCAAATAAATCTCTTTCTAATTGCTCGCTGAAAAACCCGGCCGCGGTTGCGTTGAGTAGAGATGGCGCCCGACAAAGGCCAGCAGCGCTAAAACTCGATTTCGACGTGCTTTATTTCGCTCAACTGGCCGGTCAACCTGGCCAGCCGAGAAGAACGGATTGCGTTCGCCGGGCGCGGCGGTTTGTTTATTGATATTTACAGCCGACGTTGACAGGGCACGACGCGCATCGACGGTAAGGGATGCGCCTTCGCTCGCGAGGAGGGGCATAATATTGGAGGGGTTTGTCTTTTTTTGAGCCGCCGGCGGCTCCTCTCTCGCGGGAACGGCATGCGGGATATATTTACGTGTGTCGGCGCGCTCGGCGCAAAGCCTTTAATTAATATCTTTTTTCCAAGTGTCGTCAAAGCACGTTAGACACTCATACGAGTGGTTCTTCTTGTTATCGCCCTATTTGGAGAATCGGACCAACGAGTAATGATTATGTGTTACTTGCCGTAACCAAAGACAAGATATACGTTTGATTTTTCATTAATTATTTATCATAAAACTGATTTTTAAGAATATTGAAACTACGTCATCAACTGCTATTTAATTGTTATATAACATATATTCGTTGCTATATCAATGTCATATGTAATCTTCTCCTACAAGTTCGTCAATGAAGTTGATGGGGAAAGTTCTGAAATGCGTGTGAAAATATAAAGTTTTATGGTGCGAAATGCAGTTGAAAATAATAATAATAGTTCTCTTGCCGTGAGTATGACGACAAGCTCGGTCGTCAGTGATTTATTACTTCTTGTGCTACTCATTATCTCTTACTAACATTCTTTCTATCAAATCTTTCCCACAATTTGCTTGAAAGAGAAAAATGTCATCTTTAAGAAATTTAAGGGCATGTTTGAGAAGATCTTGTTTTACGTAAAATATTTTTCGAGAATTTCTAGTAACTAATTTATTTAATTTCTATCATACATATATATATATATAATTAACAATATTTTCATAATATATTATTTTCGCATATAGACAAATCCATTGACAATGTATATTTATCTTCACTTAATTTCTAACATTGATTTCATAAAAATATAAAGTATTTTCTGTATAGCCCACATATGAAGAAGCTACACCGGGTGTTAAGAGTAACTGAAGAAATAAATCAAATTACACTTCGAGAGTGAATCATAGAGCCGTCGGTTGGCCGGGAGGTAGCAATCAAAAACGCTTTATACTCCAGCAGCTCCAACAACGAGCGACGCAGGCATGAGGCGTCGAGCGGAATCTTCGCGTCGCACGAGTTAAAGGAAGAATACCGAACGAGCGAGCAAAGGGATACGAATGCACCCTGACGCCGACGGGCACCGGCAGGCACGGTGGCAAGCTGTCGTTATCTCTCGGTTGAACTTAGACGCGCGTGTTACGTGGTTTTCTGCGCGTCGAATGGCCGTCGGGCGGCCGCGCGCGAGCGAGCGAGCAAAAATTGCGCCGGAGCAGCCGGTGGTCGCCTCACCTCGCCTCGTCCCGTCTCGCCTCGTGAGGGCAAAAAGAGGAAGCGAGGACGCCGTTGCTGCCGGACCGATGATGTTGCCGCGGCCACAGCGACGGGGGCTTCCGACGTCGCCGCGGGCGAGGAACTCGGTAACAGTCCACGCTGTCGATATCGCTGATGCATACTCAATGAGCGACGGATCGTCGCCCGGAGGACGAAGGGGACGGAAGAGGATGCCAGCGGGCAGGAGACGAGGGGGGGGGGGCAGGTTGCGATCGAGGGGACAGGTAA